CCACTGCACTCCAGTCTGGGCAACAGAGTGAGACTCCAAAAAAAAAAAAAAAAAGCTTACCCAAAAAACCATCGTAATTCTGTTTCAGGATTAAAGGAAAATAGTGCTGCTTGAAAATTAATTATCCCTGGGCATAGTGGCTCACATCCGTAATTCCAGCACTTTGGGAGGCAGAGGTGAGAGGACTTCCTGAACCCAAGAGTTCAAGACCAGCCTGGGCAATTTGGCAAGACCTAATCTCTACAATAAATTTAAAAATCAGCCTGGTATGGTGGTGCACACCTGTGGTTCCAGCTACTTGGGAGGCTGAGCCCAGGAGGTCGAGGCTGCAGCAGCCGTGATCGTGCCGCCATGATTGTGCCACCACTGTCCAGTCTGGGTGACAGAGTGAGACTCCAGCTAAGAAAAAGAAAATTGTCTATTTATTTTTCTTTCTTTTTTCTTTTTTTTTTTTTGAGTTGGGGTTTCACTCGGTCACCCAGCCTGGCATACGCAGGCTCACTGCAGCCCTGATCTCCTGGGTTCAGGCGATCCTCCCACCTCAGTCTTCCAATTAGGTGGGATTACTACAGGTATGCACCACCACACCCGACTGATTTTTTTATTTTTTATTTTGTAGAGATGAGGTCTCACCACATTGCCCTGAGCTCAAGAAATCCTCTCGCCTTGGTGTCCCAAAGTTCTTAGATTACAGATGGGAGCCACTGCACCCAGGCTAATTATTTTATTTTATTTTATTTTATTTTTTTGAGTTGAAGTCTCACTCTGTCGCCCAGACTGGAGTGCAGTGGCCGCTCCCGGCCACCACAGCCTCGACCTGCTGGGCTCCGGCGATCCTTCCACCTCAGCCTTCTGAGTAGCCGGAATTACAGGCACGCGCTACCACGCCTGGCTGATTTTTTGATTTATTGTAGAGATGAGGTCTCGCTACCCAGGCGGGTCTCGAACACGCGGGCTCAGGCAATCCACTCACCTCAGCCTCCCAAAGGTGCGGGATTACAGGCTGAGCCACCGAGCCCGGCTAATTATTTATTTATTAATGCAAGAGCCATAGAAACTCTTTTTGTAAATCCTTGATCAACAATCAACTTGCACGTGGTGGGGTGGGGGTGAGGGGACTTCCTGGTCTGAGACCTGTGTCTGTGGTCAGTCCCTCAGGGTCCAGGCACCTGGGAC